ACAACCCTTTAGCTTGGCACCAATGATTTTTTTCAGCATTCTTTTCTCTCTGTGTTTTGATTTTCACACTGTCCCTAAAGATTTTTAGAGTTGTCCTTCAATTTTTTTTTTTAGATTTGATTCTTATTGTTTTTAGTTAGCACAGCTCAATGGGTGGCACGTGTGCTTAACAACCATTTAGCTTCACACCAATGATTTTTTTCACCATTCTTTTCTCTCTCTGTTTTGATTTTCACACTGTCCCTAAAGAATTTTAGAGTCGTCCTTCAATTTTTTTTTTCAGATTTGATTCTTATTGTTTTTAGTTATCACAACTTATTTTATGTTAAATAATTCCTAAAATTAGATTTTTTAAAATTTTTTATTATCTTTTGATTTTTTTTGTTTGTGAGATTTGATCTATATTTTTTATTTTTATTTATTTTATTTTTAGTTATTTTTTTAATTGATTTTTTTCAATTACATCTTTTAACATTTGATTTCATCTAATTTCCATGTCAAAATTTATTTTTATTTTTTAATTATTATTTATTTTATTTTAGATAATTTCTTATTGGAACTTTACATTTCAATTTTATCTCTTTATATTTTATTGATTGAGATTTTAATTTCATGATTTTTTTTAGATTTATTTTTTATGGGATAATTTTGAACTCAATACTTGAATTACATGTTTGAAATGTTTCCCGAGTTAATTTAATTTTTTTTATAATTTTTTTATAATTTTATTCTTTAATTTTATTTTAATTTAATTTTTAATTAAAAAACAAATAATTGACTCCTGGAGGACATGATTGTTTTTTAAAAGTGTACCGTTCTCGGATTGATTCTTCCGTAAATAAAAAAATTTGTTTTATTTTTAAACAACCCTACCATTCATGTTGAAAATACATTGAGCACAAATTTTCTTTCCGAACAAAAACCCAAATCAACATATCCACGTGTAAAATCAAACATGCTTGAACAAAATGAAAAAACACTTTAAATATATAAATCACTCAAATAAATATTTAAATAATAAAACGAGAGAGAGGAAATAACATTTTTATCCTTGAAGAAATGCTGAAGATCACAAGAGCAAGCGCCGCGTGGATTGTATGCTGTGGCAGCTAAAGAGACACTGCAGGTTCAGGCTGTGGTGAGGTTAATTTTTAAAATGTTTTTATTTAAAAAAATATATTAATAATATTTTTTTTATTTTTAAAAAATTTCTTTTGAAATTAATATACCAAAATAATTTAAAAAATATTAAAAATATATTATTTTAAAATAAAATTTTTTAATTTTTTAAAAATATCTTTAAAACAGTGCCAAACACGCCAAAAGCAATGGCAGTGAGAGCGTACACGCGCTTGGAACGCATGTACGTAAAGAGTCTTTTTATGTCTGGAAATGTAAATGTTTATATTGTCTGGGCTTCTATTCAAAAAGGAAAAACCTAAACCAGAAAAATAATAATATATATTTATATGTTTTTTTGAACTAGAATCTCTCTGCAATCATGATTTTCCATATATCGTTCTCCTTTTTTTTTTTCCTTGCCTCTTTTTTACTCTCTAATTTTTTATTTGTCTTTTTATTATTTTATTTTATTTTTAATATATGTTATCACACAAAATAAAATAAATAAAATACTAAAAATGACAAAAACTGATTGAACTTCATTAAAAATATATTTTTGAAAGACTTTTATATTATTAAATAACATGAAAAAATTAGGGAAAATCTAGGTTATGATCACATTATTTATTTATGGTATCAAGTTATTCAAAAATTTATTTTTAGTAAATTTGAAAATACGAAATCAAATCAAAGTGGTTTGATTGAAAAGTAACAGATGTATAAAAATTTCAAGAAGTTAAATAAAGATGTAATCAATTTTATTATAAGTTTAAAAATAAATTAAAATTCTTAGATAATCAACCTCTACATTAAATTTTAAAATAAATCAAAATTATAAGGTAACTAACCTTCACATTAAATTTAAAAAGATTTATCAAACTTTTTGAGAGACCCGCGCGCCATATCAATCTAATTTAACCAAATTAACTGTCTTGATCAAGATTAAATCTTGAATTAAGGAGCAATTAAATTAACCACCAAAACTACGATGAGTTTAATAACACTTTTCTTAAGCGTGCATTCGCTTTGCTCTCCACGTATCTCTGCTTCTTTGCCTCTCCTCGAGGAAAGGAAGGTGCAGAGAGTTCCTTGAGAGAGGGTGGGAGATTTGTAAGATAAAGATAGCCAACAAATTAAGATAATGCAAAACATGAAGCTAAAACCACCCATACTCGTGTACTTCCTCTTCTCTCTCGTCCTCTCCCTCACTCTCCTTTTCTTCTTCTTTTCGTTCAAAATCACCACCCACCCACCAACCCTATAAGGCAACTCCGACCTTAGAATCCGACCCGGTTACATCTCTTACGGTTCCTACAGACAACGCCAACTAAAGAAGACCCTCAACCCAAAACTGAGAAATATATGGACAACCCGTGACTGGGACCGCAAAATCCAAGTCTTTGCTGGTTTCTTTCAGGTTTGGAAGCAAAAAAACCTTCTTTTAATCGAATCCAAAGCCTTGTGTTTTGGTGCCCGTGTAGGGCAAGAGTTGGTGATTTCCAACACCAGCCGTTCGACAATAGGACTTTTGATTTTGAGTTTTCAAACTTGTTTGATCACGCGCTGTTACCGGACAGGTTCGTTGGAGAGGTCGAGCAGACGTTGAAGCCTGTTGGGATATGTGTCCTACACGTGACGCTTTCTAGACGGGCTGATAAGTATTCGGCTAATGATTTGTATGGTGCTAAACCGCTGGCCAAGTTGTTTACGAAATCTAAGGTTGTTCATTTTTAGATGGGTTGTGATTAGTTGAATTTGATATCTTGTTATCATGCACAAAATCTTTTGGAATTTCTGGTGTTTTTCTGTCCTATTCAAGATTGGTGAAAAGAACAATGAAAGAAAAAGCTCTCAAATACGTGCAGAAAAAGCTTGACAGAGTCTGATCAATTTGTCCATTGATACGCTTCCTCGCACAAACCTGCTAGCCAAGTTCACGAAAAAGCTAATCAATGTACCTGTCCCGGGCAGTTTAAAGCTCCAATATCAGTGTTTATGTCATTGATTGCATCTTTTTTTCTTATATTTCACAAAATGAAGTTCGTTGTTCAAACGAAGAAAGTCTTACAAGAACTTTTCGAGATCTTGGAAAAAAAGAAGACGAATAATTGTAAACACAGAAGGTTATTGACACAACCGAACTTAAAGAATAAGAACCAAAGAAGAAAGAAGACAGAAATCTTGAAAGAATGAATCACACAAGCATGATTAAGCAATTCTCAGTTGTTTAACTGTTTATCGAGAGCATAGAGGCCGCGGGAATTTTGAAGACATGAACAGGAGAGACCTTTTAAGAATAGTGATGGATCCATATGGTAACCTCAATGACCTTTTAAGAATAAATTTTGGGTAAATTATAACTTTCTGAGGTATCGTGAGATTAGTAATCTATAAACACTATCTAAAATTTGAAGATTCCACCCCAACTCCATTTAAATGTTCAAGAAGCTACTGGAAGAATCTCTCTCTGCCTAAAATTCAACCCCAACTATATAATTTTAACCTTGAGCTAATGAGGCTGAGGTGGACAATGGTTCAAGGTTAAAATTGTTTTGACTAATCTAAATTTAAAATTTTACCTTTATCGTTGAAACCATCCCCGTTCGCAGCCCTCTGAGGCTCAGTTGGAGCGGCGTCAGCAGCTGCAGAGCTTCAAGCATGTTCAGTACTTTTCTGATGTTGTGGTCAACAAAAATCACCATCCTTTTGGATTGTGTCTCAGGATTCAGTGATTCACAGTTCCATTAGCCTTAGACGGATTGACTGCTTTTTCAGATCTCAGGTCAGATGGTTTGCAGTACTTCTCATGTCGCCTAGATTATAGGCGCAATGAGTCTCTTTCCTCTCCGAGTCCATCAGCCTGATCACCTGCAGGTTTCAGATTATCGTGAAGGATGATATTCTTCGAACTCTTTTCATGCTCCCCACGTTCAGGGGCATCTGACGTGGGAAGCATGTCAAAAGTCCATGTTAAAAAAGAACTATGGGTGAGCGAACGAGCTTATTGACTATAACTGATATAATTTTTAATCCAGCCCTCAATTGAGCTAAGATTTTGTTTGCGTGTTTATATTCATAATAAGCCTAGAAAATCTTGTTCCTATTTTTTTTTATTCTCCTTATTATTTTGAACTATTTCTAGTTAGATTTCAGAATTTTGTTTAATATAAGTTTCGTTAAATAAATCGGTTTTAGCTACTACTTAAATAGTTTTATATGTTATTTTAACAGTACAGTTTCATTTTTATATAGTTTTGGGTTTGAAAACCTTTTTTTTTTCCCAATAGAAAATAAATCGTATATCCACTTTTGCGTTGGTGGTCTCTGTGTGACTCGTATCAATGTCCACAAGAGATCACCATGAATAAACATCAATGCATGTCTTCACGCTTTTCTCCTTTTTGTCAATTGAAGAGAAACAGAACATGAACGTTTAAGATAAGCGGGCACACTCCTTGGGACTCACCTAGTAAAGAGGGGCTTTCATCTTCTTGGACAGGATCGACATATGTTTTTCCTTCACAGAGAAAGCTCAAGACTCTGAAATTGTTACTCCCTGGACAGGAACAGGTGCTGCATCAGGTTCTTTGCTGAAACCCTTTGGGTTAACTTCCACGTACATTCTATCCCTATACATCTTCAGTAGACGAACTCCCTCCAGGGATTTCTTGATTATGAGAATTTTTAAAGGATAAACAGTCTACCGCAGCATGTGAACTTTTCTATATTTAAAAGCATATTAAAATTAATAAATGTAACATGCAGACAAAGTGCAGGTAACTTAATGGGGGATAAGTAGCCATAATTAACATTGAAATAGAAAGAAAATGAATAATCATAGTAATTTAATTTCATATATCTAATTAATTATAACTGTAAATTAATCAATAAAGTGGCGTGTTTATTTTTATTTTTGTGACTTCAAATGATAAGTACACGATCAGCATCCTGAAAGTTTAATCCACAGACCAAATTCCCAAGCTAACCAAAGTTGAGCTTATACTGTTCATTCCATCTTCCTGGAATCTTTAAGTTGTCCCTTCTTTCGAATCGCGAGGCAAAAACTCAGTCTCCAGAAATCAACAATTGATTCTGGCAACAATTGTATCAAACCCCAGAGAAGGGAATGGGGCCAGTAAGGTGTGCAGCGAGGTTCATAGCCTATGGCACGCAGACCTGCCCGGGCATAACCATCTGCTGATGGAACCCAAAAGGAAGATCTCCTTATTGATGCCATCTTTGTTGCCACGTAAAGCGGAACCTGCATCAAGAAAAACCTAGATTGATCAAAGAAGCATAAAACAAAGAAAATCGGATGCTTAAACCAATACCTGATAGTAAGCAGAATGTTTATCATTCTACCTGATTAAGATCTGAAATTATACTTGAGATATTTATGCAAATCAAGAGACTAAAACTCAAGATGGGAGACCTGCATCTCTCTTGATAAGCACAAAAGAAAAGAAAAAAAATTATTTGCAAGATGACTGGTATGGTCAGAAAGGGCACACAGATCACAGACATCAGATAGGCAAGGCTTGGTGATTCAAATACTCAAAGCTAAAGCCTTGTCAGTTATCAAACTCGCAACTTTAAGAATGGTTGACCAGACGGTAGCTCTCTTGCATGTGGGGTGGCCACAGTACTGTTGGCTACTCTATACTAGCTTGACAAACATCTATTTGGTTATTTTTTCCTACATGCAATAAGGTGTAGGCTTTTCAGTATGCTTTGGTTATGATTCCTCGGCTAGAGTTGTCTGTGTGTTTACCGAGCAAATAGCCATCTCATTGACGTTTCCTCACATCATCACTTGCCAGCTTTAAGTCAGAAAACATGAATTCAATTAGCAGTATGTTCTAGTATCGTCTCACATCTAAAACTCTACCGCTTCTCTCATAATTATACCAGCCAATTCAGACAAATGTGTAGAATCCAAGGAAGAATTCAAAAGACACGAGCATCAAAAGAAGAAGAAGAAAAATTATGTGCAATGTTGGATAGAAAAATATGATTAGCATGGCATATATACAGCATTTCCACATGATAAGTTCATCTTAAGCTGATAATGATAGGTACATTAATCAGGTTTATAACACTAAGGCATTCAGCAGAGCCAACAACACACGAAGAAAAAAAAAGTAGTTAAAACCATGAAGTGCACGAAAGCATTTGTGTATCTATAATTTTGTCATGAAAACGAAAGAAAGATGGCCTCTACCCAACAACTGTATTATAAAATTCAATCATGATCTTTCTTTTTGACAAAATAGAGCATCAGCTTGCATAGAAATTGATCATAATCCAGATTTTGAATTTTCAAAAATAAAATAAAATAATAAGATAGAAAATGAATGAATAAAAAATATTTGAGAATTGAGTCTAGACCACACAAATTTGAAGTTTGAGGATTGAATTATAAATTTGGGGGTAAATTTGGTCAGACATTAGAAGAATGGGAAGTTTGGGGACTTAATTGAACTTGATATTGTTTAATTAATAAAATCAGGGATCCAATTGTTAAATTTCATAAGTTCAGGGGCCACGTTGAAAATAGCCATTTCCAGAGACACAAACGGCGCCGTCTTGAACCACTATTCATCATCACCTTCTCCAGACCAGGGACCGATTCAACAGGAAACCAAAACCGTTTTGGACCACGTCTCCCATGAATGTCTCCTCAGCTGCCCATTTTCTTCCAGAGGCCACGTTGAACAGTCCTGCAATAACAGGACTGTTATTCCCCTGTTTCTTCTCAAAGAAACAGGGGCGTTCCTGCCTCACGATCGTGAGGCACGAATACATGAACAGAGGCCATTCTCTGGCTTTATAAAAGCCAGAGAAGGCCACAGAAAAGGGGAAACCAACGAGGTAAGACACTGGAAGATTACACACGGCAAGACGCAAACAAAGGAAATTCAAAGGAACTGGGGGAGCTTTTCCAGAAGAGAAAACACTAGAGGACAGACGCAGGGGACGAAGGAATAGCAACAACACAGGGGACAGAAGAAGACCAGAAAAAAACCCAGGAAAAAAAGTAAGAGACAGACACGAAACGAGAAGGGAGAAGACATCGTCCGGCCAGAGCTAACCGGTCATCAACATCGTCTTCGTCTTCAGCCCACAGCTGCACCAGGTAAGTTTGCATCTTTCCCTCTCTTTCCATTTTAATTACACAGGCACTGTGCACTTGCAGTTTAAATTACTCCCACCGTGCTGAGCGTGCGTGAAGCTTTTCACGCGTGTTACTGAGTGATTGGGCTGGATCTGCTGAGTCTAGCACAGTCTTTATAGGTTTGGTCAGACCCCAAGAAAAAATTACATGCATTGATTTAAATTATTTTAATAGTTTATTTACTGAAATAGAGTTAAAAATATTATATAATATTTATTAATACTAGAATAGAAAGCATAGATAATTAAATATTTAATTAAAATAATAAATATTACAATCAAATTATCATAATATAAACAAATAAATTTTTAATAATTTAAAATAGAATTAATAATATAATTGGTTCATAATTTAAGATTTGATAATATCTTTTTTTTTTTATATAACCAGTTTTATACCAAAAAAATTTTGTTGATCAATTAAAATTTTTAATAACAATAATATTAAATCAGGATTTCTTTAATAAAATCTTCCTATTTTAAAAAAATAAAATACGAAAAATTTATTATTTTTATTAATAATTTTTAAATAGAAAGAAATTTCGTCACCATTTATATTCCAAATTTCAGATGCGATCACATAAGCACATTCATTCAGACATAATCACAGATTGACCAGAACATCAGTGTAAACTAAATCTATTACATGCAGATCAGGATTAGTATTGAGAGCAGCAGAGCATTGTATAGTATGGAGAAGCACAGTACCTGACACTGCACATCAATCCCACTTTTCTTGTATTCAACATAAAGGCATCTTGAGAATTGATCAATGTACCTGATAAAATACACAGATTAAATAAATGAAAACTAATAGCAACCTGCTCCAAATCTCCACAAATTAGATCCTTATAAATAAATCACGACGAAAAATAAGAAGAGAGGCTTACGCTTTAGTAGCAGCATAAACAGCATAAAGAGGATCAGAAGGAATAACAATGGCAGCACCAGAACCAATATTAACAATAGCACCTTTCTTCTTCAACATCCCATGCAAAACAACTTGCGTAACTTTGGTAGTGCCTTCCACGTTCACTTTAATCAAATTCTTCAACAACCCCTCATCAACCTCATGAAAGAACCTCGCATAAGGATAAGAAACCCCAACATTATTAATCAAGACACCAACATCCAATCCTTCAATAGTCTCCTTGATCTTTTGAACACCCTCGTCAACATCGCCGCTGAAATCAACAACAACGTTCTTGATCTGAACATTACTGTATCTGGATTGAATAGAACTTGACACGTCTTTGAGTTTATCAGGATTCCTGCCCACCAGGACTAGATTGAGACCCTTTCGAGCCAATTGGAAAGAGAATCCCTTGCCAATACCGTCAGTGGGCCCAGTAACGAGAGCCCATGACCCATATTTCTTGAGATTCTTGGCAGGTCTGAGGAAACTAACGTAGACCCATTTGAGAGTAGCGGAAAGGAATTTCAGAAGTGAAAGAGAACCCAAAGTGAAGAGCAGAAGAAGCCATAAAGGCTGATCTTTGAGCTGGTCCATGAAACGGAGACCCATTCTTTAGTTATGCTTTTGGATCCGAGACGTGGTATTTGATGAAGACTTAAATAATAGAATGCTATGAAGAAAGAAGGAGAAAGAAAGGTAGGGAAGCTTCTGTTAATGTTAACACTGCAGAATTTTTGGATTTAAAAGCGGAGCTAACGAGGAAAACAGGGCGCGAGTGTGAGAGGAAAAAGCGAGTGGCAGAAGATAAGTTAGGCGAGAACAGACAGATGAACGGGGGAATTAACTAAGATTTGATGGAGAAAGCGAAAGGTGGCTGAACGGAGTGTGGTGAAGTAGATGAGATGAAAACCGCCCCATTAACTACTTATGGTGACGTTCATTCACAACATGGCTTCGTTGTGACAACTGCCAAAGGCCTTCCTTGTTCAAGATTCTTGTCTCCTGTTCCTCCTTTTTTGGTTCTTCGATGCTCGTCTGACGGGTGCGCCTATGTGACACTGTGATGTCAATTCTGAAAACCTGGGATACAATTTATCGTGAATAATTTTTGTGCTATTTTTTGTTTTTAGCATATTTTTAAAAAAATATACTGATAAAATAACATATTAAAAAAATTAAAAAAATAATAGAATTTATCATACGAGGCCACCTATCAAATCAGTAATTTACATCAAAGTAAAATTATTCATTGAAGCTTTCATTTTAATTCTATTTACAGCTTGATAAATATATATAATATAATTATTATTGTGCTTGTAAGTATGGTTCAGGAAGGATCTTATAATTCTGCATGAATAACTGATAGTTGTTTAATTATGATGAAATCTTTTGAATTTATATTTATTTTATATTTTATGTATAAAATAATACGAATTACTGATTTACTTTGTCGAGTTTTGCAATAAAAATCTCTTAACATCTTAAATGTAATGGATTTTATAACAATTACTAAAGCATTACTTCGAACTTTGAGAGATGTTGGATTTGATCTTTTTACTGGAAATGTGCAATTTGTTTGCACAAAATATGAAATTGACATATCACATATGAATACTTTGTATTAAAAAAACTACAGATCATTCATATTAATAATAAGGTTCAGTGACAATTTACCAACATTATCATCATGATATATTTAACCCAATAATATATTTTCAGTTGGAAGAATTAAACTCTAAATTCAGTAATAGGATAGTGAAACATGTTAAAATTGTAATTTGCAATAAAATGAAAGAGGAGTTCCTAACAGATTTTTTAATGATTTACATTGAACAAGAGCTTGTTAAAGATATTGATTTGGATTCGATTATAAATGAATTATATTTTACAAAATATTGAAGAATGCAACTTTAATAGTATAATTTATTTTTATTTTAAATTTTATATACTTTAAATTTTATTTTTTATATATTTTATATTATGTATTTGAATTAAAGTTTTACTGTTAACCTAGCAAATTTATATATCCAGATGAATGATTAATTTTAAAAAATAATTTATATATATTTATATTATAGCTCAGGATAGGAAAATTTTCTACTCTATCTTTGAATTTGTGTACATCATGTTAAAGAATATGACTTTTATAGTTTGTTACCTAACAACATCCAATAAAAAATATTAAGTAAAGTGAGGATAAAAATAAAATAAAATAAAATTAGAATACACCAAAACTTTAATTACAATAATATATATATCATCAAAAATAAATATATAAATCATCCTCCATATTTACATGGAGAATATATATTACAAATGCCATAAATTTTGTTTAAGTAGAGTATAAGTTACTTTTTTGGTTAAATTTGTCATGACATTCTATTAAATAAAAAAACTAAACATTTCAATATTAAATATGTCAATCTATTTATTTTATTAAATGCACATTTAATTTTTGTTCTGTACTTTCTTGATATTAAAAGAAAAAAAACCTCTTGATCCCATCAACGGGAGAGGCGCGAATGAGGTGAGTTGTTATAACTACATTTATGGTGAGGTTGTTTCCGATGAAAATTAATCTCCCTGATCTTGAGGAAGTACCTATCATAGGTCCTCCCCTTGTCGAGGAGTAAACATATTCAACAACTTGGGAGATTTGAAATTAAAAAATTCGTTTTTTTATAATTTTAAGTTTGAATAATATGATTGTTAATATAATATTTATTAAAAATTTTATAATTATTCATTTTAAAATTCATAAGATTAGTTAACTTATACACAATATCTATATTAATTTTAATTCATAAGATTAGTTAACTTATACACAAGTTAATATAAATATCTATATTAATTTAAAAACAAAAAATAAATAGTCTGTTTACACAACACAAATTGATTTGTATTAAGCCTTTGATGTACATTGATTCACTAAAAAATATATTAAATTGGTTTTTTAAAATATTTTTTAATAATTTTAATTTATTCTATAAAAATTAAAAAATAATTTATTTTAATTTATTTTTTAAAAAAAACATTAAAAAAAAAAAAACATTCTAGCTCACCGCTCCAAAAACGCCGCGTCGTTGGAAAAGACACCTTAATTTTTTCCCCAACTTGTGCAGAAAATTCTTCTCTCCCCCTTCATTCTAATTCGACTAATTGACCCCAAAATCGATAACGGAGGTTGAATTGACTGATAACTTGCTGGTATTTATGGGATTTTAGATTTTAGAAATAAATCTAATGATTTCTGAAAGCATGCATAATTGAAAAAGAAACATGAATAAGAGAAGTTTTTAAAACAGCATAAAACCCCATCAAGGATAGACTAGCTGCAAATTTCCTCAGACTCGTGCTGTGAGCTTTCCTCTTCGGTGGATACCAACAGAGAGACGCCAGGCATCAAGAACGCGCTCGGGAAGCAAGCAAGCCAACCACCATTGAAACGAGTGAGCCCAGTAGGGAGCACACCGTGCTTCATAGCCTATTCGGCCAATCGCAGCCTTGGCGTAAGCTTCTGGTGATGGTATGAACAAGGATGGTTTCTGAATCGAAGCTACTCTTGAAGTCATTTTTGTTGCAACATATAGCGGTACCTGTGTACGGCGCCTTGATTACATTAGGTATGTTCATCATGAATATTACCTCCTCCTTTTTTCGTATCCCACCATCAATATGTCATAAAACAAAGGTTTTTGATGAAATCAAAATTTATGGGAAACCTTCCCTTTGTTCTTTGTATTTTTTTCATTAAGCGAACGTATCAAGATGTTAATAGTCGAAGTGACGAGTATATATTAACATTAGGTATTTTTTTTCAATTAAAAATATATTAAAATAATATTTTTAAAATTTTTTTGGTATCAAGCGGTTAAAAATCATAAAAATACCTAAAACTACATTAATTTAATATTATTTACATGATAAATAATTTATTTTTTTAAAAAATAAAAAATTACTACAATGTCAAATGAGTATCTTAATACTATTATTTCTTCATAAAATGTAATGTTTGTACATTAATAACAAGATAGCTTATTTTTTCAATTGAAAACTTATCAAAATTATGCTTTTTTAGATTTTAGTATTTGACACATTAAAAATCATAAAAATACTTTGAAAAATATTAATTTATTTTTTTTCACAAGAAAAACAATTTAATATTTTTTTAGAGAAAAAACAGAAATTATTACAATATCAAAGAAGCATCTTAGTAGTTGGAGTGACATTTAGTTTCTTCATTCAGAAAATTTAATGTAGTTATTACACTTTACTTTGATTTATAACCAGAAAGACAAGTATGGTAGTAAAAAGTTATGGCGATACACAGAGATGGAAACTGTAATACCTGACACTGTACATGAATTCCACAGCGTTTGTACTCCACGTATAAACATCTTGATAATTGATCAATGTATCTGCAAGGACTCAGCAGCTCAAAAAATATCAGTTAGGTCATTATTAATAATTGAACAGCCCATTAAATTCTAATAAATCTAATTTCTCTATCCATTAAATAAATCTATCTATTTCACTTAGATTTTCATTATTAATATATTTTTTTTCAAAATATTTTTTTATATCATAACTACGTACTTAGAATACTTTTGGAATTTACTTGCTGGAATATGTGACTATAATTATGTAGACATATTCTTTCCAATAAAAACAATTACATTATGCACTTTTAAATTAAATAATAAACTAGACATTATAAACTTGCTATAAATATAATTACTTGGTATATATAATCATACTTCATTTGATTTAAGCAAATAAATCCATGTGAGAAAAAAATAAAAAATACCAAGGATGGCAACCCATTTGATTTCAGCCAAGCACTTGATTTTAAGTAGCATTTAATTACTATACCGAGATAAAAAAAATTATATATTTTTTATTTTAAAATGATATAAACTTATTTTAAACTTATCATGTTTATTTTCCTATTTCTCTAATAAATATGTTTATAGTTTTAGTTCTTAATTGTATTATAATTATGGGTGGTTGAAGTAAATTAATAATCTTTTTAATTAATACACTAAACCTAGCTACCAAACCTCCAAATTTGGCCAACCTCAAAAGTACACATAAAAATTGCTTCCTTGTTTTTCTATTCTCTATCACTAGAAGCCATCAAATGAATGAAGCAATTAAAGTTCATAGGAGTATTTCTTTTTTTAATTTTATGTGCTGCCCTTAATTAACTATTTAGTCGCTTAATCAAACTTTAATTTTTTTATTATCTATAGTAGCTTGTTTTATACATTAATTCAAGGCTTCCCTTTTAAATCTCGTTAGTTTGTTTTTTTCCTCCCCTTGAATGCTTATTATCAAAATCAAAAGACAGAGTAGAAAAAATAAAATTTTGTGTTTGAAATTGAAAATCAGTACTGGAAAAAGAAAAGGGATTATCGATGCTTATGGCATATATGCTCACGCTTTAGTAGCAGCATAGATGGTGAAGAGATGATGTGAAGGCATGGCACTAGCAGCTCCAGAGCCAATATTAATAATGGCACCTCTTTTCCTCTTGATCATCCCTGGCAACACTGCTTTAGTAACCCTACTAGTGCCCGCCAGATTTACTCGAGCAATATCCATCCAAACTTTCTCATCCACCTCGTGGAAAAAACTGGCTGCAGGGTACGTGATTCCCAAGTTATTTATCAGCACACCAACATCTAGCCCCTCTATGGCCTTCTGTATTATCGACTGGACACCAGCCCAAGTTATTTATCAGCACACCAAC